AGTAGCTGGGACTACAAGCGTGAGCCACTGTGCCCTGCCACAAGAGGGTTTTTTGTTGTTGTTGTTTTAAGGAAATTGAAAAGGAGATAGAGGAAAACCAAGAGAAAAAAAAAAACAGTAGCATGACAGAGAGAAGAGAGGAGGCAAAAAAGAGACAAAGGAGAGAGAGGCACAGGGTGGAGTGGATGAGCCCATTAATGAGAAAATTAGCTCATCCTTTTAAAACCATCAGATCTTAAAAAGAATAAAATAAAGAAAATTAGCTCATCTTTGTTGCTCTAATTAGGTAGGGTCAAAGGCAAACAAGGGGAACAGACTCACAGTCATTGAGTTAGATATGAAATTGGGTAGGGGAAGAAAGCAAGGAAGGGGAGCAGTACCGCCTCAATTTCTTTGTTCATCTCATCTTTAAGGATCTTGTTCTCTTTGTCACAGCGTTCTAGCTGGGCAGCTACTTCATCAGCCTCCAATCTGGTCTTCATCACCTAGGTCCAACAACAGATGGTTCATCTTAGGCAGTGCCACATTTTGGAGAAATCCATCTTATATACTCAACCCTTCCTGGGAGTGGCCTGGTAGGGAGCCCCCAGCCTGATTGGGGCAGGGTGAGCACTGCTCAGAAGGGCCAGGGCCCCAGTGAGGCCTACCTGACTCTTATAGTTGTCAATCATCCCCTCGTAGTTCTTCACTGAGGCCTTCAGCTGCTGGACCTCAAGGTGTGACTGGTTGAGCTTGTCCTCCATTGGGGCAAAGCTGGCCTGGAAGGGATGGCTCATGAGTAACCCACAGGAAGGCTCTGCATCAGGTGGCACTCTTACCCTCAACCCTCTCCAAGGAACCAGCAAAGGAAAGGCCCTTTATTTTCTTAATTTAAATTAAATTAATTAATTTTTTTAAAGAAGGGGTTTCACCATGTTGGTCAGGCTGGTCTTGAACTCCCAACCTCAGGTGATCCGCCTGCCTTAGCCTCCAAAGTGCTTGGATTACAGGCATGAGCCACTACGCCTGGCCAGGAAAGGCCCTTTACCTACACAGCACTTTCCCTGAGTAGCACCAAGGAGCAGTTAAGACTCCTAATGTTACCATCTCAAGTGAATAGAGATGCAAATAAATGACTTCTGTTTTTTCTTATTCCCAAAGCAATATATAATCGTTAAAGAAAATGTAGATAAAACCAAGACACACTAATCCTAACGCTTAATGACTTGGGATATAGCTATAGATCTATAGCTGCATAACTTTTTCATTTCTATCAACAAGAATGAGACTATACTATACTTACTGCTATGTAACATACTTTTTCTCCACCATGGGATCTGCCAGGTTACCAGGTTATATGTAACATACTTTTGATTTTTATTTATTAATTAATTTTTGAGACAGAATCTCGCTGTGTTGCCCAGGCTGGAGTGCAATGGCATGATCTAGGCTCAGTGCAACCTCTGCCTCCCGGCTTCAAGCTATTCTCCTGCCTCAGCCTCCTGAGTAGCTGGGATTACAGGCGCACACCACTACACCCAACTAATTTTTTCTATTTTTGGTAGAGACAGGGTTTTACCATGTTGGCCAGGCTGATCTCAAACTCCTGATCTCAAATAAGACACTTGCCCCACACCTGGCCATAACATACTTTTTAAATTAACAACATGTTTGGGAGGCTGAGGCAGGTGGATCATGAGGTCAGCAATTCAAGACCAGCCCGGCCAATATGGTGAAACCCCGTCTCTACTAAAAATACAAAAATTAGCCGGATGTGGTGGCACATGCCTGTAGCCCCAGCTACTTGGGATGCTGAGGCAGAAGAATGGCTTGAAACTGGGAGGCAGAGGCTGCAGTGAGACGAGATTGGGCCACTGCACTCCAGCCTGGGCAACAGAGTGAGACTCCGTCTCAAAAACAAACAAACAAACAAACAAAACAATGTGTTGTGAGCTTCTCAAGTCAATAAATACCCTCTCAACTTATAATAGAAGTGGGTATTTAAAAAAATAAATGTATTCCTATAAACCAAATACTCATCTTAGATGGGACAATATAAATCATGGTTTATCAAATGAATAAAAAATAAGTAGTAGTCACTTAAAAGAGACATGAAGCTTAGAAAACTGACCTAAATAGATGTCTGTAAATATTGTTAAATCAGAAAAGCAAGTGACAGAATAATGGATGGATGAATAGATGTGTATGTGCTTGATATGTTAGTACTGGGGGAAAAAATCTAGAAAAATGTATGTTCATGGCTAGTGGAGATCTTCACTTCTATATCACATTTCTGTAATGTTTTGAACTTTTACTATGAGCATATTTAACTTTTATAATTACACTAAGAAAGGCTGGGCACAGTGGCTCACACCAGTAATCCCAGCACTTTGGCAGCCAAAGGCAGATGTATTGCCTGAGGTCAGGAATTTGAGACCAGCTGGGCTAACATGGGAAAACCCCATCTCTACTAAAAATACAAAAAAATTAGCTGGGCGTGTGGCAGACGCCTGTAATCCCAGATACCTGGGAGGCTGAGGCAGGAGAATCACTTGATCCTGGGAGGTGGAGGTTGCAGTGAGCCGAGATTGCGCCACTGCACTCCAGCCTGGGCAACAGAGTAAGACTCTGTCTCAAAAAAATAAAAAATTATACTAGGAAAATATACAAACATCATTTTGAATGGCCACACTGTAATACACTATACAGATGTACCGTACTATAACTAATCCCCTAAATAAATAATTGTTGGCTTAAAATTTTTTTGTAGAGATGGCATCTTGCTGGCCTCAAGTAGTCCTCCTGCATTGGTCTCCCAAAGCACTGGGATTACAGGTGTAAGCCACCATGCCTGACCTCCTCAATAATTGTTAACACTTAGATGTTACTTTCAATTTATCTGACAATTGCAGTAAACAAATGAGATACTACTACACTCCCACCAGAGTAGCTAACATAAAGTAGACACACAATACCAAGCGTTGCCAAGGAAGCAAGGAGCAACTGTTATCCTTTTACTTACCACTGACAGGTGTATAGATTTGTTCAACTACTTTACTATTCAGTAATATCTACCAGTAACTACTATTCAGTAGCATCTAATAGTAACTACTTTACTATTCAGTAACACACTTTACTATTCAGTGACATCTACCAAATATAGACTTATGCACACCCTGTGATGACCTGGAAATTCTACATCAAAGTATATAAACAATAAAGATGCACCAAATGTGTACACCTAAAGACATACAAAGATGTTCACAGCAACACTATGGAAACCCAATGTCCACTGACAGTAAAATGGAGGAACATACTGTAGTGTATTCATGTAACACATACCCTAGAGAGCTCAGGATGGAAAAACTGTTACAAACAATGGGGCTGACTCAACAAATGTGTAGAGTAGAAGCCAGGCCCAGGGGTATTCAAACTATTCAAATCTCTAAAGTTAAAAGCAGGCAAACTAATCTGTGGTGACAGAAGACAGGCTAGCAGTTACCTTTACAGGAGTATTAGTAACAACAAAGGTCACTAGGGTGCAGGCAACGTTCAATCAGAATGATAGATGGACAAAGTATATTCACTTTATAAAAATTCTAGGATCTGTGTAGTTTTCCGTATGTTATTTTCCCTTAAAAGCAATCTTAACAACAAAAAAAACAAAATCAGTGAAAAAAATGAAGCTAGATATTACTGCCCAGATCGACAAAAAAGCATGATCAAACTTGTCTCTGAAATTTCAACCTCTGTTCAGGTGCCTCTCGCCCCTGGCAGGCTGGAAGAGGGTATGGTGAGGTTATGAGCTAGGGCTCCAGAGTCAGACTCGGGTTCAAATCTCAACTCCGGTATCTCCTAGGGCAAAGTCTTAGCAAGAAACTTGACCTCTCTCTCAGCCTGTTTCCTTATTCTCATTTCTTTTTTTTTTTTGAGATGAAGTCTCGCTCTGTTGCCCAGGCAGCAGTGCAGTGGCGTGATCTCGGCTCACTACAACCTCTGACTCCTGGGCTCAATTAATTCTGCCTCAACCTCCTGAGTAGCTGGGATTACAAACACACGACATCACGCCCAGTTAATGTTTTTGTATTTTTAGTAGAGACAGGGTTTCGCTGTCTTGGCCAGGCTGGTCTTGAACTCCTGACCTCAGGTAATCTGCCCGCCTGAGCCTCTCAAAGTGCTGGGATTACAGGCATGAGCCACCACATCTGGTCGCTTATTCTCTTTTCAAATGGAGATACTCATCACACTACTGGGAGGCTGGACAGTTTAAGTGAGAATTAATGCCTGTGAAGGGGTCCGGCAGGCCCCCAGGAGAGCCAATGAGGTGGCTCTGAAGGAAGCCAATGTTAACCTCAAAGTGAGTCTAAATCATGTGTGCAGGCTGAGTGCGTCATGTTAAGCATTTCACATGCATTACCACATGCTCACAAGGACCTCATTTCCTCTTCCTAAGGAAGAGGCATGGAATGTTTCACTCAGGTCCTACAGCCAGGAAGAGGCAGAGTGAGGACTTGAATCCAAGCTTTTCTTTCTTTTTGACACAGAATCTCTGTTGTCCAGGCTGGAGTGCAATAGCGCAATCTCGGCTCACTGCAGTCTCTACTGGGTGATTCTCCCAACTCAGCCTCCTGAGTAGCTAGGACTACAGGCGTGTGCCACCACACCCAGCTGCTTTTTGTATGTTTTATAGAGACAGGATTTTGCCATGTTGCCCAGGCTGGTCTTGTACTCCTCCTAGGCTCGAGTGATCCACTTGCCTTGGCCTTCCAAAGTGCTGGGATTACAGGCCTGAGCCACTGTGCTGTCCACCGACACTAGAATGGAGGACTATACTGTGGTGCAGTATCTAGGCTTTTCTATCTCCCTCTTAGTCAAGATGCCCCCAGCCCCACTTAAGACAGGACCCGGTCATCAGCTTGCTGGACCCCACCCGGCTGCCTGGTCCCCAGCTCTCACTGCGAACCTTCAGCCTCTCATTCTCCAGCTTGAATGCAGAATACTCGGCAGTCTGACGGTGTAGTCTCTCCACCAGGCTATCCCGGTCTTCCCGCATCTTCTCCTCCAAGGTTTGTTGTTGGTTTACAAGATCTGTTACCCGGCTGGAAGGTCACAAAGTGAAAGCACACAGAGAGAATCAATTACACAGGTTCTAAAGAGCCTGGGTCTTTGTGTGGTGTGAGACCAAGTGTTCTCACCACTAGACATACTGCCTGCCTGCTCCCCAATCTCCACACTGAGAAGCAACTGTGCTGCCCTGCCTTGGCACTGCTGCTGTCCCAAGCCTGACCCACCTCGGAATGACGTCCTTTAAGATGTGTCTCCCATACCACTCCCTCTAACAAATCATCTACAATTCAACAGTAAGCAATGACTTATTAGGAGAAGTGTGGGCTGGGTATGGTGGCGTACACCTACAATCCCACTGCTTTGAGAGGCCAAGGCAGGAGGATTGCTTGAGCCCAGGAGTTGAAGGTTGCAGTGAGCTATGCTTGTGCCATTCCACTATAGCCTTGGTAAAAGAGTGAGACATTGTCTCCATTAAAAAAAAAAAGAGAGAGAGGGATGTGGACCCATCTTGATCCTCTCATAGGGCCAAGATAGTCTTTGAAGGCAAGGACCAGGGATCCCTTCCCAACTCCCTATGACACCTCCCTGAATCTCTCTGCCTATCAGATCTTGGTGTTAGGACAGACTCTTCTGGAGTCCCTTTCTGGACTCCCAGGCTGGTGGTCAGGGTTTATCACCCAGGCATTCCTCTCCAGCAGGGCTCTGAGCACTCTGGGCTTTTGTCCCCCTAGCAGGGGGCTGGTGCCATGATTGGCTCATTCATGTATGAACACTCACCTAGCACAGGCAGGAATGGCAATGAGTATGGTCTGGGAAAAGGTACAAGTAGAGAGAAAGAAAACAACTCAGGAGCCAGCTGCTTACCCCACCAATCCCTTCTGCTCCCTCCTGCTCTCTCAGTCACTGAGCAAGGCTATTCAGTCAAAGAGTAGATACTGTGGCTTCAAGAGGAGCCCTGGGGCTCACAGGTGCTTACTCTTCTATCTTGACCACAGACCCATCATAAAATCTTTGCACAATATGTGCTCTCAGTATTGACCAATTACAGTCCACCACTGAACAATAACTAGACCCAAGCAAACATATCAGTTTGCTGGCAACTCCAGTTTACCTGGCAAGCTCCTACTCATCCTTAAAAACCCAGTTCAGACTTCAAGACATCTCGTGCTTGACCCCTCACCTGTACAATGTATGCTTCTGTCTTAATTATCTATGTTCTCCTAGTAGACAGAAAACTCCCTAAGGACAGCACCTGGCATAGAGCCTGGCACATACCAGCTTCTCAGAACATGTCTGCTAAGTTGAGTTGAATATAGTAAAAGAGACTTTCCTGACCTGGGAGATTAAATGAGCTCCCCTATGACCTATCCTTAGTCCAGGGAGTCGATGCCTCTTGTAGCCCTATCTCCTCTAGAGTAGAAGGCAGGAAATGCATGTGTCTTCTTACTGCTGTAACCCTGATGGCCAGCACACAGCAGCTTGGTACCTCGTAGATGCTCAACACATGATTTTCCAATTAATGAAGGAACAAATGAGAATAATGGAATGGTCACTGCTCACAGTTCACCAGTGGCCAGAAAGGTGTCAGCTCAGTCACTTGCAACTTGGGGCCCCCTTTGCCCCCTACTCAAATGCCATACCACTGACCTACTGACTGGCAGGCACTGGCAAACAGCTGCTGTCCCTGGGCAGACAACAGAGAGAAGATACTTGGGTCACCATCTGCCCCATTCCCTAAGAACAAGAATGAGGACACCAGGGTGCCCCATTTCCCATACTGTGTAGATTGGGGACAGGCTCAGGACCAGGTGCCAAAGTCAGACCCATGCCTCTGTGACCAGAGAGGCCCAGCCCCTACCCAGTGCCTGATAGTAGGGTAGGACCCCAGGACTAGGGCCAGAGCCTGCACCCCAGCTCCAACCAGAAAGCCCAGCTCAGGACTGCCCGCATCATACCCCAGTGCAGCCCCCAGCCCAGAGAGTACACACAATCAGCCACATGGCCTTCCCTGAGCCACCAGGCTCCTCCACCTGCACACGCAAGTCCCTCACCCTGAGCCACCAGGCTCCTCCACCTGCACACGCAAGTCCCTCAACAGCCCCACATTCCTTCCCCTTCTCTAAGACATACTCATTCAGGACAATAATTTCCAGCTCGAGGTCTCCCTTGTCTTTTACGACTTGGTTGTAGCGGCTCCTCCAGGACTCCAGGGTGGATAAAGCTTCAGCAACATAAAGATCCTAGGAACACAGGACAACAGGGCCTGTCAGCCTATTGTCAGTGCTGAGGCTGCCGGGAGCTGGGAGTGGTTTCATCCTAGGTTGTCTCTCACCCTGGTATCCTAAACCTCACTCTGCAATTCACCTATCTGGAGGGTGCTGGGAGTGACAGTGGGAGCCCAGCTAGTAGTGCTCCCAAATTTCTGGCAATCAAATGCATCCTGTTTGCAAATCCTTTCTTAAATCATTCTCACCCACAAAGCTGACATGGCTGAACTCTCCTACAAAGCCTCCAATCATCTCCAGCCACCCACCCATCCAGATTTTACCCATTTGATCCCCTTAACTTCCTCTCCCTCCTCCCCAGCCATCCACCCTTTCCACCACTACCATCCATCATCCACCCACCCCTCCACTACCCATCTGGCCAACCACCCCTATACCATCACCCAGCCCTCCTCCTCAGGGCAGGTGAGGAGCTGGGCACCCCGGGCCTGTGACCTTGTCGGCGAGTTGCACGTGCAGCTGCTCGGCGTACTCCTCGCTCTTCTCGGCTCGCTCCTTCTGGGCTCGGATGGCCTTCTTCAAGCTCTCTTTGTCTCGGTCTCCCTTCTGCTTCAACTCCTTCAGCTGCTCCATGATGGCCTCCACTTCTGCCTTGTGCTGATTCCCACTGCGCTCCAGATTCTGGAAAGGGGAAGGGGTGAGACAGAGAGGGAAAGGAGAGACAAGAAGGCCATGGGAAGGCAAAGCAGAGGACGAAGGAGAAAGGGAGGAAAAAGCAAGAGCAAAGAGGGAACGAGGAAGAGAAAAAACAGGTGTTCAGCTGTGTGAGGCTCCCCTAACTCGGACCAGAGACACAGTCCCTCCTAGCTCTCCACAATACCTCCCTGGATCTGTCAGCCCACGGGGTCTTGATATTAGGTCAGAACTGCTCTGGAATCCTTCCCTGAACTCCCAATCTTGTGGTCACTCAGAGAAAGTTCCTTGGTCACTCAGCAGACCTATGACTTCAGAGGACCCCTGGGCTACAAAGAGATCATCCCTTTCCCTTGGGTAGTTAGGAGAATTGAGGGCTTAAGGGATTAAGTGATAGGCCTGGGGGCATGACACACAACTCCAACACATCTGGGAAGGATGCCCAATACCTCCTGGGTCTCTGTCCATTGCTCTTGCCACTGTCCTAGAGTGTCTCTGAGGCCTGAGTATTTTGTCATCAGCTACCTCAGAAACCTTTGGAGGCATACATCCTGAGTGTGATACCTGGGCCAGGCCACTATCATCAAATTGAAAGGCCCCTGCCTCTTCTTTCCCCACTTGTGGGGCCACTAGGTACCTTGATCTGCATGCACAGGCGACTGTTCTCAGCCTCTTTGGACCGAAGCTGTGCCTGCAAATGCCCACGCATGGACTCCATGGATTTAGAAAGCTCAGAGGCTGTCTTTGCTTGAGCCTGTGGAGAGACAGAGAAAGTGACGAAGGCACAATTTTTTTTTTTTTGAGACGGAGTTTTGCTCTGTCTCCCAGACTGGAGTACAGTGGCACAGTCTCAGCTCACTGCTACCACCACCTCCTGGGCTCCAGCAATTCTCCTGCCTCAGCCTCCTGAGTAGCTGGGGTTATAGGCGTGTGCCATCACACCCAGCTAGATTTTTGTATTTTTAGTAGAAACAGGGTTTCACCATGTTAGGCAAGCTGGTCTTGATCTCCTGACCTCAAGTCATCTCCCCACCTTGGCCTTCCAAAGGGATTACAGGTGTGAGCCACCACCACGCCTGGCTGACAATTTTTTTTTTGAAGAGATAGGGTTTCACCTGTTGGTCAGGCTGGTCTTGAACTCTTGACCTCAGGTGATCCACCCACCTCAGCCTCCAAAAGTGCTGGCATTACAGGTGTGAGCCATGCGCCCAGCCATTTTTTTTTTTTTTTTTTTTTTTGAGATAGGGTATCACTCTATTGCCGAGGCTGGAGGGCAGTGGCGTGACCGCAACTCACTACAGCCTCAGTCTCCTAGGCTCAAGCAAGCCTCCCATCTCAGCATCCACAGTAGCTGGAACTACAGGTGCATGCCACCACACCTGGCTGATTTTTAAATTTTTATTTTGTAGAGATGGGGTCTCCCTGTGTTGCCAAGGCTGCTCTCAAACTCTTGGCCTCAATTAATTCTCCTGCCTTGGCCTCCCAAAGTGCTAGAATTACAGGCATGAACCACTGCACCCAGCCCAGAGGCAGGATTTGAACACAGCTCTCTGCATATCCATTATGCTCTACTGGCTCATAACAATGCACAGCTGCTGGGGACAATACCTTCTCACATTGTATTTCCTGAAGGAGCTCTTCCACCTCCTTGTCCTTGTCTTGCAGCAGCAACAGAAGACGCTGGGAGAGAACACAGACTGTCAGGTGCCCCCTTGGGAAGAGCAAAGAGGCCCGGCCCAGGGAGGAGAGAGACTTGTGAGTGCCTGGCCACTGGGGTCCAAGGTCCTAAATACATTGACCCATGTCAGAGATCCTGGTAGGAAGCACCTAACATATGCATAAAAAAATTTTTTTAAACAATGAATATATATTTATTTTGCAATTTAAGAACAGTAACGCTAATTGCAGAAAACACACCAAAAACAATCCTCCAAAGAAACCCCGTAATCCCTACGCAGAGATAACCACTGCTAATGCACGTTAAAAGTCATACGCTCAGCACAATAGGAAGGTTAAAAAAAAGTCATATACCTAGTTTGTTCCATAATCTAAAATCTCATGTTTACCACAATGTGATTAAATCTTCTGTATCTTTTGAAAGAGCGGCTTGACGTTTCAAATTACTGATGTATCATAATTTTTTTTTTTTTTTTTTTGGAGACAGAGTCTTGCTCTGTCACTAGGCTAGAATGCAGTGGTGCAATCTTGGCTCACTGCAACCTCCAACTCCCGATTCAAGTGATTCTTCTGCCTCAGCCTCCTAAGTAGCTGGAATTACAGGCACGTACCACCACACCCGGCTAATTTTTGTATTTTTAGTAGAGATGAGGTTTCACCATGTTGGCCAGGATGGTCTCAATCTCCTGACCTTGCGATCCTCCTGCCTCAGCCTCCCAAAGTGCTGGATTACAGGCATGAGCCACCGTGCCCAGCCTGATGTATCATAATTTAACAAGGGCTCCTGAGCTGGGAATAGGTTTAGGCATTATCGCTGAGCTTGCTGCTTGTCTACTCCTTCCTTGACTAAGCGTCAGAAGCCATAGGCCCCACCTTGGGAAAATGGGCCTCCATCTCCCTCCCCTCTCTTAGAGACTTACGAAAGCATTAATACGGCAGAGGCTCCAAAAAAGTCTTGGAAGAAGCTGTTGAACTTTATGTTTGGGCCAGCCTATGGTTTCCCAAATTTAATTGGCTATGGAACCTCCCCTTTGGTTTCCTGCACCCATTAACATCTTGAGGAACTTAGGGATCCATGAATACACTTTGGAACATGGTGTTTTAGGAGAGATTCCTAGAATTAGGATTACTGAGTCCAAAGGTGTGTACTTTTTGATGGCTTTGAATCCATGATACAAATAAGGAAATCCAGTTTTAACAGACACAGATGATTTACAAATCCAACATTATTAGTACCCTCCCTCATGTTGGTGTCCAGTTTTGTGGCTCAAGGTCAAAAGTAACTAACTAGACAAGCCTATCAGAACAGGCAGGACAGGGAGACATCAGGCCATTTTACAGATCATGAAACTAAGACCCAGAGAAATGCTCCAGACCCTCCTGCCTTGATCCAAGCACCTCTACACTTTGTAGCGGATCTGTCTTGCCACTTGTACCCACTACAGTAGATGGGGAAGCCTTAGTTACCGCTTTCTCAGAGTCGGCCTCCGCCAGCCGTTTCAGTAGTGCTCCTTGTTGCTCCATTAGTCTTTCAGAATCCTTCAAAGAAAGGAAAGGAAAGGAAAAGGTCAAGTCATTAAGCAATAAACCCAGCTATCTACATTTTATTGATTCTTTACCTTCTCCAAAAAATTGTATTTTTTTCTTTAAGAGTCTTGCTCTGTTGCCCAGGCTGGAGTGCAGTGGTGCGATCATGGCTCACTGAAGCCTGGACCTTATGGCCTCAAGCCATCCTCCCATCTCAGCCTCCCAGCTAGCTGGAACCACAAGCATGTACCACCATGCTCGACTTTTAAAATATGATTATTATTTGTAGAGTTGGGGGGTCTCCCTGTTTGCCCAGGCTGGTCTTCCTGGGTTGAAACCATCTGCCCGCCTTGGCCTCCCAAACTGCTGGGATTACAGGTGTGAGCCACCACACCTGGCCCAAAAAACTGTATTTCTAATTTGAAAAGTAATAGGTGAATATATTCTCACTATGAAATAGTGAATGCTAATAAAGCTACAGTTCCTCCTGTACCTACCTCCAAACCCTACCCGACTGCTATTAGTTTGAGGCGTGTCCTTCCCACTCTTATTCTCTGCATTTACAGAGAAATACTGTATTTCTCTGTATGGAAAATACTATACAGAATTCAATACTGTATTGAAATAAATAACGTTTCTCTGTACTGAAACAGTATTTTGCTGCATCAAGAGAAATACTGTTTCTCTCTGGGGGAAGGAAAATAATATCATATTGTATTTATGCGTTACTTGATTTTTAAAAACAACTTTATTGAGATATAAATTTGAACACCATTTAAAATGTACAGCATAGTGACTGTAATTAATGATGTATTATATACTTTAAATCTGCTAGGAGATCTTAAGTGTTTTCACCACACACACAACAAAAAGGTGATGTGTTAATTAGCTTGTGGTCACTTTACAATGTATATGGGTATCACATCATCACGATGAACATCTTAAAATATATACTACTTATGTTTGTCAAACATACCCCAATAAAGCTAGAAGAAAAAATAAAGTGTACAGTTAAATGGCTTTGCTATATTGTTATTAATTTTTTTTTTTTTTTTTTTTTGGAGACGGGGTTTTAATCTTATTACCCAGGCTGGAGTGCAATGGCGCGATCTCGGCTCACCGCAACCTCCACCTCCTGGGTTCAGGCAATTCTCCTGCCTCAGCCTCCTGAGTAGCTGGGACTACAGGCACGCGCCACCATGCCCAGCTAATTTTTTATAGTTTTAATAGAGACGGGGTTTCACCATGTTGACCAGGATGGTCTCGATCTCTTGACCTCGTGATCCACCCGCCTCGGCCTCCCAAAGTGCTGGGATTACAGGCTTGAGCCACCGCGCCCGGCCTTTAATTTTTTTTAATTGTGGTAAAATTGGGAGGAGGGAGGGAAAAATAAATTAATTAATTTTTAAAAATTGTGGTAAATTTTTAAATTTTTTTTATTTTAACCTTTTTATTTATTTATTTATATTTCATTTTATTATTATTTTTTGAGACAGAGCCTCTCTCTTTTTGCTCAGGCTGGAGTGCAGTGGCGCGATCTCAGCTCACTGCAACCTCTGCCTCCCAGGTTCAAGTGATTCTCCTGCCTCAGCCTCCCGAGTAGCTAGGATTACAGGCATGCGCCACCACGCCCGGCCAATTTTTGTGTTTTTATTACAGACGGGGTTTCTCCATGTTGGTCAGGTTGATCTTGCAACCTCAGGTGATCTGCCCGCCTCAGCCTCCCATAGTGCTGGGATTACTGGCACGAGCTACTGTGTTCAGCTTTTTTATTTATTTATTTTTTAGAGACACAGTCTAGCTCTGTCACCCAAGCTGAAGTGCATGTTGTGATCATGTATCATAGCTTACTACATCCTTGAACTCCTGGACTCAAGTGATCCTCCCACCTTAGCCTCCTCAATAGCTGGGACCACAGGTGTGCCCCAACATGTCTGGCTAACCATTTTTAAGCATAAAATTCAGTGGCATTTAGTACATTCATAATATTCACAGCCATCACCACTATCTAGATCTGCAACATTTTCATCACCTGAAAAAGAAACCCTGTACCACTGAGCAGCCATTCCCATTCCCTCCCACTTCTGCCCCTTGCAACCACTGATGTGCTTTCTGTCTCTAATATGCCATGGCATAGTTACCCTCTCCCTGTCTCTAACATGCCATTGTCATTTTTAACCACTCCTTACCACCTCCGGACAATGAGGCTGTTCGCATGTTTTGCAACTGCAAACACTGCAGCAATACACATTGCTGGGTATATACAAAGTGCCTGTCTAGGACTGATACCAAGAAGAGGAATGGCCAGGTCAGAAGGTCTGATTTGTGGCTAAAATGCCCTGCAAAATGCCTGCACCAATTCACCGGGCTACAAGCTGGACGTGGAAGGACTCATTTCCCGGCATTCGCCAGCACCAAGCAGCAGCCAACCTCTGCCTCGGTTGGCAGTCTCTGCCAACAGCATTCCTGCTGGTTTCATTTGCATTTTTCTAATTACCAGTGAGGATTAGTACCCTCTCATATGAGCCATTTGGGTTTCCTCTTGGCCCATTTTCTCACTGGGCTGTGTCTTTTTGACTGTCCCCATTCTTCCTTGGCACCTGAACAAAGTTTCCCTTGAAGGAGAGACACCTTGTTCACCCTCTCCCACTCAGACCCATAGATCCCCTTCATAAGCCCTTAAAGGGCTCTTTGGTTCCCAAAGTTTCCTGGGGACCTAGGAACTGAAATAAGACAGTATTATGGTTTCTCTGGCAACAAGCAAAGAACATGGACAAAAGGCTTGGCCATGGATGCAGAGCCTGAGGCTGTTCTCACTGCCCTCCAGGCCTCCCCTGGGGCACTGAAACCACTGCCCAACTCTTCTGCCATCCTCTGTGCATGAACTCACCAAAGCCCCCTACTCTAAGAGCCATGCACTATCACCACCCCATCTCACAGAGGAGGAGAGTGAAGGCAAGTGAGGAGAAGTGAAGGCAAGTGAAGTCACACAGCTGGATGTGGCAGCACTGGGTCCTGAAGCCAACTCAGACTCCAGAGCCAGAGCAGTTCCCCACCACACTGAGTGCTCCCCAGTAAGCACCAAGATGGTGAGGCAGCCCTGAGCATAGATGGGCACCAAGGAGCTGAGCCTAGACTGAACAGGAAATACAACTTTTGGGTGGGATTTCAAATTAGCTGACCCTTCATCTCCAATTGAAGATGGGACTCCAGGATGATAGACGCTAAGAAACCAAAAAAGGAAAAAACTTGCTAGAGCAAGAGGCTTTTTTCTTTTTGTGAGATGGAGTCTCGCTTTGTCACCCAGGCTGGAGTGTGGTGGCATGATCTCAGCTCACTGCAACCTCTGCCTCCCGGATTCAGGTGATTCTCCTGCCTCAGCCTCCCGAGTAGCTGGGACTACAGGCGTGCACCACCCATGCCAGCTAATTTTTTGTATTTTAGTAGAGATGGGGGGTTTCACCATGTAGCTAGCCCAGGCTGGTCTTAAACTCCTGAGCTCAGGCAACCCACCCACCTCGGCCTCCCAAAGTGCTAGAATTACAGGAATGAGCCACAGCACCCAGCTTTTTAAATTTTTTGAGACAGTGTTTGGCTCTGTCATCCGGGCTAAAGTGCAACACTTTCAAAAGTCAAATTGAGCAGATCACTTGAGGTCAGGAGTTCGAGATCAGCCTGGCTAACATAGAAAAGCCCTATCTCTACTAAAAATACAAAAAATTAGCCAGGCATGATGATGCATGCCTGTAATCCCAGCTACTTGGGAAGTTGAGGCAAGAGAATTTTAACCCAGGAGGCAGAGGTTGCAGTGAGCTGAGATTGTGCCACTTCAGCCTGGGTGACAGAGCAAGACTCTGTATCAAAATAAATAAATAAAGGTTCCCTCTGAGGGAAGGGAGACAAGGTTATTGCAAAATGATACACCAAAGGGATTCAACTATGTAGACACTTATTTTAAAAGCTGAGCAGTGAGTATAACACTTTATATTACTTATTTTACACATATA